GGAGAGTGGGAAGTGGAGGGAGAGAAGGAATCAAGGGAGGAAAAAAGCAAAACATTTAACAGACACAATAATGGAAAATTATCTGTTGATGACAATTGTGTATGGTAATGTCTTTGACTAGACTGATATGCAGTGCATTCATGCTGAGAAAATTTATTTTGTATGCTGCAAAGATATACATTAAATGTAAAAAAAATTAAATAATTTCAAAAAGAAAGAAAACTAATAAAATTTGACAAACAATGAAGGTGTATGGTGTTGATGAGAAGGCGGCACAGATTTGTCACATCTGAGTTCAGGTTTATCACATACTACATAAGTGACCTTGAAAAAAAACCCACTTAACTGTCACCCTCTTTTTTTCTTTTCAACTGTAAAATCAGATAACTACCCCTTCCCTGCTTTCCTTGAAATGACAAATGGATATGAGGGTACACTATAAACTACAATGGTTCTAAGTAATACTGTTTCTCAGTCCCACATGGGCTGCATTCTCTTCTGTCCCTTCTCACATTTACTCATAGAGCTAGTTACAACATAGAACCAAGCAGTACTCCATTGGCTCTGTGTGTGTGTGTGTGTGTGTGTGTGTGTTTACCACGCAACTTCACTGTTTCATTTTTAAGGGCAGAGACCTTGTATATCTCCCCTAGACATGTTCCATGCTTAGCAAAGAGCATAGTACATACTAGGTGCTCAATAAGTGTTTGAAGACTAAATGAAAGAAAGATAATATCGGTTAACTAAATGAGTCCTCGAGCTTATCTTCTCCTTCTTCCTAATGAAAGTTCAGTACCAATAATACATTAACTTGTAATGTTTTCACTATGTTGGAGTAATTACAGTTTGTGGCTCCAAAAAAGAATAAAAGCTCTTAAAATCAGAGCCTATATCCCCTATGACTTGTGTGTTTCGACAGAACCTTCTAGGTATGCTAGGTACCAGCCCAATAAAGACTATCAATTTTAGGAGGAGTACTGAATAGGACAAAGAGGAGGATTTGAAGCCATCTCACTATGGCCCTACCCCTGTCCCTAATACTTGCTAGTTTCAGAATCTCAATTTCCTCATATGTCAGAGAAAAATGGTAATTGTCCTTCCTACCTCATAGTTATTGCCACACATAAACAAGATCAGGGATACCAGAGTGTTTTGCATTTGTTTTCAATGCTAAGTACCACTAATCCAACATTAGTTGAGTATCCGTGCCAAGCAGTGTTAGAGGCCGGAGACACATGGATGAATATCTCCAAGAATTCAGCTCATGGTTTAAAAGGAACCAAACAAGTCAACAATTAAAATGCAATCTGATAAAGACTAGATAATGATACAAGTGGAAAGGGGCTTTTTCACCTTCTTTCTTGCAAGGTTGACAAGGAAGTGCAGGAACTATCAGAGACCAATCAAGGCAGGCTTTCCAGAAGGAAGTAATGCTTACATTCACCTCCTGAGGTGCCCAGGAGCTGGGAAGACGAAGAGGGTAAGAGAAGAGCATTCCAGACAATGAGTACTTCAGAACATTGCATTCATTCATGTATCATCAAACATTAACTGAGTATTTTACAGGTGAGGAACTCTAGAGAAATATAGATAAATAAGACACCTGCTCTGTGGAAATATCAAGTAAAGGCACCTGTAACCCAGTCTGCTTATACAGCAAACAGGGTAAACTCATGATGCTTCACATAATGGCTAATCCTAAGTACTCTGAGTGGATTCAGACAACTTCCAAGGAGGGGTCCTATGGAAGAGAATAAGGCTAGAGAGAAACCAGGGCAGAGTATGAGGGCAGAGGCAGTGGTAGGCACAGCATCCCATCCTTTCCTCCTATTAGTCATGAGACTTCAGGTTAATTACTAAGCTTCTTCAAAGCCATTTTTTCCCCATATGTAAAACAGAAAGAATAGAAACTGCCTCAAAAGGTTATTGTGAGGATAAAACAAAGTATGAGTTAAGTATTCAGAACACTTTCTCAGGATTAGTGCTCAAGAATGTTAGTTGTGGGACCAGCAGTTTAGCATAATGGCTATGTCACTGGACTCCTATGTAGTCGACAGCAGTTCAAGTCCTAGACCCAGCAGCTTAAACTCACACCGGGCGTGTGTGCGCGTGCATGCCCAAGATCCCGAGAGGAGAATGGGTAAGAAGGGATTGTGGCGTGGCATCCCTGCTGGGGGGTGATTTCTCACTTTCTGTCTCTCTGTCTCTGTCTGTCTTTCTGGTGAGCACACGCACCCTATAGCAAAAACCCTCTCCAAAAAAAGAAAAAAAAAAAAAAAGAATGTTAGTTGCCATGAACGTCATCAACACTGTATTTTTGTTATTATTAATCTGACTAAGGGGGAATATTACCTCAGGCAATGTGAATAATTTAGGGAAGAGGAAGCAACACAACAGCTCTCAAATGCTCAACTTCCTGGAGTCCATAAAAAAGAAGACAGGTCGTGGGACCAGCAGTTAGTGTAATGTATATGACGCTGAACTCCCATGTAGCCAACCATGGTTCAAGTCCCAAACCCAGTGGCTTAAACTCACGCCAGGTGTGTGTGTGTGTGTGCCCAAGATCCCGAGAGAAGAATGGAGGAGAAGGGATTGTGATATGGCCATCCCCCCAGGGGATGATTTCTTGCTTTCTGTCTCTCTGTCTCTTTCTGGTGAACAAAGGTGCCCTATAGCAAAAACCTCTCCAAAAAAAAAAAAAAAGATGACAACAGGCCAGGATATGTTTTATACCACCTTTTGTCTTAGACGAGCAATATTCAAAATCTTACACAGAAGGAACCCTAACCAGAAAGAGAATGAGTGGATGTTCTCAAGAGGTACCACCCCGATGGACTTAGACTTTCCAGTATTTTACCTGAGAAATTCTTTCTCCTCCATAATCTGCTCATTTCTGTTATCACTGACACCAACATAGGAAACAGTATGTATTCATTTACAAACATCGTTACAGCATTAGAAAGATTGTTTATTTACTTACAGCAAACAGAGAGAAAGCACCCCCAAAGAGGTCTTGACACCACAGCCATCCCAGCCCCTCAGTCAATACCGTGAGAAAGTATGAGCACACAGAATATATGAGAAGATCCCAAGATACAACTCTGGTAACTTCCCATATGGGTCTCTGCATTATCACTGCACTGCCACCTGGCCCTGTTATGACACTGGATAAATATTAACTCATTGAACTCTTGAACAACCACATAGAGATGGCTACTGCCATAATTCCCATTTTACAGAGGAGGAAACTGAGACAAGACACATGAAGGAACTTATCGAGTAAATGGACAAGTTAATCAATGTTGGCATTTGGATGTCAATCATGCACTCTGCCTCTGGAATCTGTGCTCTATGGTGGGTACACATCTCTCTAATACACAAATGTTTCCCCTCACTAAACTTCACACCAGCAATGATGTTCCCAATAGATGTGTCATGCTTATCCTGTGGCTTCTGGCCATATTCCAAGTCAGAGGAATGGCCTAAGACCCAAGAGCTTTATGCATGTTTGCTACAGTGAGATAGCATCCCTAAGGACAAATGGCCATAGCACTTTCGTGGCTAGCAGGGCTCAAATAGATGACAAGTTGGCCGCCACTGGGAGATGATTAAAAATCTACCATTAAACCAAGCTGTACTTATAGTAGACCTTTTTAAAAGTAGTTTCTCATCAGGGGATTATATTTTCTTCTTGATCATTTCCTTAATGGCAAGCAAGGCTATATGTTAGAAGAACAAAGGAGACCCAAGGGCAAACAACAGAAGATTCTCAACAATGTGGGGGCTGAAAGTGGGGAGAGAAGAGAGGAATTAAACAGGCAGAAGAGAAGACGTGCCCCTATTTATTTCCTTAGAATACTCTGGTGCTGCCCACCCCCACCTCTTCTCTCTACCTTCTTCTCTGGGGGCACTAACAGCAGCCCAGAGCTCATTAAAGTTTAAACAGACTGATCGATAAGGACAGAATGGTGAATTGTCCATCTGCAAATTACCAAGCACCTCATGAATATTTAAGGAACTAAACTAGGAACAAGGAGAAGAAGAAATACAGCACTTAATTTTTCTGTCCACAAAAAAGACAAAAGAATCTCTATGGTTCCTGATCACCAGTTATGAAATCAGTCAAGTAAAACTTTCAAAATACTGTGAGTGTCGTCCAGCATCAATCTTTTCCCATGCCAACAGGCTGAATCCAAGCCAAGGCTATACAAGATGGGCACATGCATGGCACATGTAGGTCTGCCCTGACATCCTTGCCTTCTCAGAACACACCATGCCCCCACACCTTTGCACATGCTGTTCCCTCCACCCATAATACAGCTCCCCTCTCTTGAGCATTGAGAGGCGAGAGACACCACTGCTTAATAACAGTGCAGCTGTTTTTGCCACAAGACTCATGTGCTTGCTGGAAAGAGACAAAGACAGTGAGAAGGAAAGTGAGAAATCACCCCACGGGGAGATGACCATGCTACAACACCTTCTGCAGTCCCCTCCTGGGATTCTGGGCACACATACACACACACCTGGCATGAGTTTTAGGCTGCTGGGTCTGGGACTTGAACCACAATTGGTCATGTGGGAGTCCAGTGCCTTAAGCACCACACCACCTGCTGGCCCCAGTAACAGCACTATTTTTAAAGGGTCTGTGCATCCTAACACATTTACACTGCTCCTGGCAATCAATAATGGCACAGTACATATTAGTTATGATAACCACTGACTTCTTCCACATTTGGTCACACCTCAAGCTTCCACATCCTCGGTCCTGTCTTACCTGAGACCCTCAGAGTTAACTCTTTTCTCCACTCCAGCCACACTTAACTTCACCCTCAGCACTTACCATATTGTATTTCAGCTGTCTATCAGTCTCTGCCACTAGATGTAAGTCTCTGAGGAAAGACCTATGATATGCCCAGCTATGCTTTTGAAATTATCCCAATGTCTCCATAGCACCCAGTGGGAGCGTGTGCAAGGACAGGACACCACGGGTTTGGCCTTACCTTAGTGACAACACAGCACGCAGCCCAGATGTCCTCAGAGGACTGCTCATGGTGGTTGAACTGGGGCTCCCACTTCCTAATTGGCTGGTCTGCAAAAGCCAAAAGGACCCCTCTCTGGTCCACCAGGGCTGCACGGACACTGCCTGTTCCGACATCCACGCCCACGTAGTAAGGCCCCTGTTCCTGTTCACCGGACATCATGGTCCCTGCACCTGTGATGAGCAAGTGCAAACATCAAGTGAATGAAGGCAAAGCGGACCTGCACGGGCAGTCACTGAACATCCTGAAAGGAGAAGTAAAAGACGTGTAGCTACCTAAGCAGTGGCTACCTATTACATATCTAACAGAAATGTCTGTGCGAACAGTGTACAGATAGATACTGAACTAGACAGTGAGCAAACAGACAGATGTGGCCTCAGACATGGTGCTGCCATTCTTGGAATGGAGTCAGACATTAAGCACTAAATTACGTAATTAAAAAAAAAAATTGCTATAGGTAGTGTGTGCAGACTGGAGAGAGACAAAGAGAGAAAGTGAGAAAACATCCCTGAGGAGAAATGGCCACCTCATATTCCCCTCTCTTTCACTTTCCTCTCCGGATTTTGAGCACACATGCGTCCAGCATGTTCTCCAAGCTACCAGGCCTGGGACTGGCCCAAGGACCCAGCCGCCCTAATCACCATACCACCAGTTGGCCTAAATTACCTAATTTTTTAAGGCAATTTATTTCTTTTCATGAGAGAGAAAGACAAGTATCCCCAGTAGAGTCTCCTACCACAAGCCTCTCTCCTGGCTCCCCAGCTACCCAGGATAATGGCCACACACATGTGTGTACCTGGTGTACATAGTTCGATCTAGGAACTAAACCCCAATCTTCCATATGGCTCCAGCATCACAATGAGGCTGGGCCTAACTGTATAATTATTGGGTCACCGGAAACGTCATGACGTATTTTTCTGTTATCCTATGCAAAAATGTGTCATAACGTTGCCAGCGACCCAATATGTATCAGCAAAGCTGTGAAGATTGCTGTAAGGGCAAGTGATAGTTCCTGGAGAACTTAAATTCTAAAGGCAATAGAGATGAATTTGTTCTCAGTGCATAGCCATGATACTGAAAAGGAACCTCATCCTCACATAAGTCCATCAACAAATGTATCTGCTGTGCACCTTTTACGTGTCAAGCACAGTAAAAAATACCTACACCCCCGTCTCCTCCTATAACTCCAGAAAATGCAGATATTAAAAAGCTGCTTTACATGCAATCAAGGAGTGACTTCAAGAGATCAGTAACTTTCTGCTTCACGCTAGGTCCACACACTTGTAAACAGTTAAGTGTACCCTACTAAACACAGGACATGGAGGAAACAGGTCTCAGAGGAGATAAAGAATTTACCCAGCTTCAGGGGAAGCCTAGATCTAAAACCCCACATCTGTGCAATCCCGAATGTCAAGCATGGAGTAAAGGTTTAGAGATGAGGCTGATGTCACAAAGTGACTGGGAATTGGGAAGGAGCCCTGAGGGAGACAGGATCAGGGATTTGTTAGACAATCTGATTTCCTTATAAACCCTTTGTGAGTCGCAAGGAAATCAGGCCTAAGGGTTCTCTGGGGCTCCTTGGCTTTCATGGCTGCTCAGATTCCCTTTGATCAGGTTAGCCCACGCAATACAGAAATCTCACAGAGACTTTCACTTTCCAAACTGGCCCTTCATAGAGTAAGAACAAGCGACCAAGACATCAGCACTGGTGAACACACTATGACTCTCCAGAGTGAGCTCAGGGTAGCCTTAGCCCAGGATCCAATTTCAATCAGAGCAGCATTCTACATCCTTGGACTTCAGCAAGGTAACAGTTCTTTTGCCAAGTCACACTTGGGGATTCTAAATCGACAATCAGACAGCAGATATTCAGTTACTGCTTCCTGGATCTTTATTCTAGTAAAAATAAATAAATAAACAGCTTCATGACAAGAGATTGATTCTGACTCAATCATAAGGATTTCCAACTGCCAGTACAGTTGGGCCCTCCCTGAGCCTCGGGCCACCTGCTGTCCAGCATGTCTAACACAGCCCTGCCCATTCTCACTGCAAGCTCCAGACATCCTCAGACTTCTCATCCCTCATCAGTTACTCCTGTCTTCCTAATGCTTTCTTCTGTGTTTTGGTGACCATGGATTTACAATTCAAGACCCGGATCAAGGCCCTCACCGTTCTGAGGAAGACTTTCTCACCTCTCTCCTTTCCTCGCACACACACACAAAGGGTACCAACACAGTACGGTATCCCCACTTTCTTCTAAAACTCATCACTCTGATTTACAAATGTTTTTGTTTCTACATCTGTCTCCCTTACAGGACTAAACATAAAACCTATAAAGAAGAACTTACTGATTTCTGCACCCCCAGCTTCTAGTACAGTGTCTGGCATATGATCGGTTTTCAATAAATGCTACCGTATGAACAACTGAATCAGTGACTCGATAGAAACGAAGGAGGTATGGGTTCCTGCTTGAATGGTTTGAATTCTGAGTTTGCACTTATTTTCACAAGTGTTCTGCTTTATTCTAAACTCTGCATGCCTCATTCGTCCATTAACAATTATTTATTGGATGCTGGCATCCATGTTTAGTTCTAAGACACTCACTTTTCCACATTCGACCTCTCTGAAATCAGAATGAATCTTACCATCAGTGGCATCTTACGATTAACTGGTAGCATTTCTTGCTTTCTTCACCGTGTATGAAATAATGGTGCATGTTGCATGCAATGACATCACAGACTGGGAGAAATGCAGATTGCACCAGGCACTCTGCAGTGACTGACAAAAGTAAAAACAATGCCTTGGTTCAGAGCTTCCTCTGTGTCTTTTATCTGCAAACAGGAAGAAAACTGACCCAACTAACTGCCCAACCTTCCCTCTACCAATCAAACGCATCTTACTTTATTTGACATGAATCTCTCTTGGCTTCCCACTGCCTCCACTGTGAAGGCCCCCAAGGACGCTGCTCCTTTACACTCATCCTAGCATGACAGCAGCTCTTTACCCAGCTAGAATTGCCCAAGACTATTAAACACTTAGAAAAAAACAGGAAATAACTAGGAAATGAAGAATACACACATTCTGTTTTGCACAGATGTGGCTAATCAGCATCCAGTCTTCTCTACATCTCTGTCAGTCTCAAAGAAATGAGAGATTTCCCCGGGACTGACCCAGGTCCTCAGACTTCGGTTCCTCATTTTGACTTCCTCTCTTTCTCTGGAGGGCATACATCTTCTTATCACGCCCACCTGGACACCTATTCCTTTCCAGTAAAGTCCAAAAAATTTCCATTCAATGGATAACTCTGAGCTTACTCCAGCTCTGGTGTCTGAAACCAGGAAAGAGCCCATGCTTCAGGAGAGTCCCCATCTGATACCACGAGATGGTAACTCTAACTGCTCCTATGTCATAGCTGCATGCCTAGTGCCTGGCACACAGCAGGAACTGAACAAGTCCTCGTGACTTAGGGAATGAGTGGATGTCTTCAAAACCCAACAATAGGGAAATAATACAAGGTGCCATGGTTACTATGTACCTGAGACTCTGCTAAGCAGTTTCCTTACAATGTTACTTTTAATCCCCAAAATTCTCAAAGACAGAAATTGTTAATATCTCTACTTTATTGGTGAGAAAACTGAGTCCTTGAAGGGCATACTTGCCCCAGTACTTCATATAAACTACAACAGTAAGTAACAAAGTTGACAGCCCTTCTTTCTCCCAGTCCTCAAGTCCCTAGCCTTTCGGGGATGCTTTATTACCTCCTGATAGTCCTCAACTTATTAAATACCTATTTTCCAGAGTGTCTGCTTAGGGGGCCCTGCTTACCGGGCCTAGGTTGGCTAACTCTGAACCTAAGCTGTCCATCTTCAGAGACTGACCTTTCTATAGTTCCAGGTGGCTTCTCTCCAGGAAACCAGTTTCTATAATAAATCACCAAGGCATCACTCAGGAAAACGCCAAAACTCCACAACAAGGCAGGCACACCCTCCTAGCATTAGTCACACACACACGCCTCCTGGTTCATGTTTTTCTAAGAAACGGATCCTAATTAAATATCTCAGGTTCACCGGTTCTCCCATTATTGTGGCCTTAATGATCTCTTTGTGATTGTTTCTACACCTGGATTCAGAAAACGGGGAAGTTCAAGTCCTTGGGTAGCTTCCCTGCAACTTGACACAGGAGTTATAAAATCTCGAGCCCCGGGATTTTCTGCAGCACAGAACTCTTGCTCTTCACCCTCATTGCCCTTTGTTCCTGGGTCACAGGTGCTCTCCGCTGTGTCCCAGACTCCACACCTACTCAACCAGTACCTCCGGTTGGAAAGCAAAGTAACTGCAAAATGGAAAACAGTATTCTTTTTTCTACTTTTTTTTTTTTTTTGGAGAGGTTTTTTTCACTATAGGGCGCGTGCGCTCGCCAGACAGAGAGAGACATAGAGACAGAAAGCGAGAAATCACTCCCCAGGGGGGATTGTCATGCCGCAATCCCTTCTCCTCCATTCTCCTCTTGGGATCTTGGGCACGCACGCACACGCGCCCAGCGTGAGTTTTCAGCCACCAGGTCTGGGACGCGAACTGCAGTCGACTACGTGGGAGTCCAGCGACATAGCCATTATGCTAACTGCTGGTTCCCCTACGTTGTTTTTAAAAAATAACTATTAGAATCCTTAGAGTGTGGGTTATTTCGACACATGTTCATCTTAGCTACAGAAACTGAGATTGCTAAACCTATCACCCTTTTATACCTTAAGGGTGTGGGAGTATTTTTCCCAGTCACATAAAGATTAAGTGGGAGCACCAGGATTTGAACCCCAGCCTGTTATACCAAGCTGAGCACTCTCTCTCCACACCTCCAAGTTAAAACTGAAAACCAGCTCCTTTGATAACTTCTTCAGTAACATCAACAAATGCCGCAACAAGTATTTGTTGAGCTCTGCTTTGCAATCCCCCACGTGACTGATTTCACCAAGTCCTCCCAACAGCCCTGTAAGGTAGGCACTCTGAGTCTCATTTCCTGGTTAAGGAAACTGAGGTTCTTGAGATGAAGCTGTTTAAGCTTAGAAGGAGAAGCAGCACAGGAGAGAGGCTGAGATGTGAGGCTAAGACAGGGACTCTAAAGCCTGCTCTAGGAATGGAGAGATTGGAACTGTAGTTTCATTTCACTGTTTTTAGGC